TATCATGTCGGATCAAGGTACTCAGTTTGTATCCAAGTTTTGGAGGTCCCTCTTTGAGATATTGAAGGTGGATATTAAGCTCTCTTCGGCTTTTCATCCTCAAACTGACGGTCAAACGGAGCGGGTGAATCAAGTTTTGGAGCAATATTTACGATGCACCATCAACTATCAATAAGATGATTGGACTGCATATCTACCGCTTGCTGAGTTCGCATACAACAACACTCTTCATGCGTCAACTCAACAAACACCATTCTTCTCCAACTACGGATACCACCCCAAGCTCGATTTATTGAGTTCTTCAGCAAATAACAACCCAGCAGCTGAAGGATTTGTGAAGCAACTATCGGAGCTTCAAGCGACGTTGAAGCTTCAATTGCAATCTGCCCAAGAGAGTTACAAGGCATCTGCAGATAAATATCGAAATGAGGCGCCTACTTTTAAAGTTGGAAGTAAAGTATGGCTTCTTCGACGGAATATCAAGACCAAGCGGCTATGTGACAAATTGGACTATCGGAGATTAGGGCCATTTGTTATCGGGAAGCAGATCAATCCGGTGGCATATCGTCTGGAGTTACCAGCTACTATGAAGGTACATCCAGTCTTTCACGTGTCTTTGTTGGAACCTTATCGAGAGTCAGCTTTTCCCCAAAGAGTACAAAGTCCGCCACCAAGTATCGAAATTGAAAACCATGAGGAATACGAGGTGGAAAAGGTACTAGATTCATGGCGTAATAGGAGAAAATTGGAGTATTTAGTGCATTGGAGTGGATACGACATCAATGAACGAACGTGGGAGCGTGCCGAAAATCTTGCCAATGCACCAAAAAAGGTACAAGAATTTCATCAACGATATCCTCATAAACCTAAGCCGATTCAACGATAGCTTCTTGCTGAAGCTTGCTCATCAAGTAGCATAAAAAAGGGGGAGGGCACCTCCAAAACCCATAGTTCGATAGTGTAGAACTTTGTTAGCAACTATAGTTTGCTCTCATCATTTTAGCCTTTGGACATGGATAGTCAAGATACTACACTTGTTATGTCATCTCAAGCGACTAGCTCACGAAGACGACCGCGAGATGAAGAACCGCCTGCACCACGACAACGTCGGAGGATACCGAGCAACAGATCGCTAGTAATTGTATTTGAGGTCGAGCCTGCCTACGACGGTCAGCCAGAAGGTGTGTTTGGAGGACAATTTCACAATGAAGACACAGAAGTCCACGCTTGGTCAGAGGTTGAAGGTGTTGGTCACTACCGTTGGCTCCAAGGGCCGATGAATCATTTGCCTCGCGAACAACAATTGGAATTCATAGCGGATGTGATGCGACAGATTTTCATTTTCTTGCGTTAGTATTGACTGATAACAACATTGCTTCTCGGAGACCTCGAAGTTAGAAGAGGAGGTGATGTCATGGACATACATTGGAAGATTCTTTCAATATTCTTCTAGAATATTCTCTAAAGATTCTCTAAAGATTCCTTTGGAAGGTTCTAGAAGATTCTTAGAATATTCCCTAAAGATTCTCTTAGAAGGTTCTAGAATATTCTGATAGATTCTAGGAAGTTGCTCGAGAAGTTTCCTAATTATTAGAAGTTGTTGGAGAAGCGTCCTAGTTAGCGGAAGTAGCTCGAGAAGCTTCCTATTCAGTAGTATATATAGGAGTCAAGGCTGAAGGGTTCTTCAGTCTCGACAATACATCTCTTGGAGTTCTAGCTCACCTTTTTGGTGTTGTTCTTGAACTCATCTGTTTAATCTAGTTCTGCCACTTCTTCTTGAACTTCTTGTTAGATTTCAAGTCTGTATTTTGTGTCCGTGACACCAAGACATTAAGAAGTGTACAAATTTGAATTGATATTAATAGTTTGATCATTAATTGTTGAGGTTCCATTATGCTTTAGGATTTATTAAAAGTTTGTTTAAGATCTAAGATTTGATTTAGGATTTAATCTAGGATTTGATTAGAATTAGGATTTTCTTAAGATTTGATTTAGAACTTATCTAGGATTTGTTTAAGATTTAAGATTTTATTACAATTTTATTAGGATTTGATCTAAGATTTGATTAGAATTAGGATTTTCTTAAGATTTGATTTAGAACTTATCTAGGATTTGTTTAAGATTTAAGATTTTATTAAAATTTTATTAGGATTTGATCTAAGATTTGATTAAGGTTCAATTAAGGTTTCAATTAGGATTTGACCTAGTATTTGGTTAAGATTTCAATTAAAGTTATATTAAATTTTTATTTTTAATATTTTTTTAGAATTCTTTATCTTTCTTTTGTGACTTCTTTTAAATTTATTCTGATAGATTAAAGTTTGATTGGATTATTAGGAATTACTTGAAGTTTATTTAAGGACCTATTTATTGTTGTTGCATTGTTGCTTACCTTCCACAACCAGGTACTCAGTGCATTCTCAAGCAAGAATACACATAATACAATAATGTATTTATGATGTATAAAAAATATTACCTCTCAATAATTTGCAATAGAAGTTCCTCCCATACAAAGTAATAATTAGAATAAGCACCATTTTCACAAATTCTATATTCATCTTCTATAACTGGGTGCCAAAGCAAGGAAAAGATATAAATTCTATCTAGTCTTGTCATAGGGCACCTCTAAGACCTCCTTCTATTATTTTAAAATAAAGCAAATGGCATTCAAAAGAAGGAAAGGATCTTCAACTTCTAAGGTTGATATGAGTGATAAAAAGAGGTCTTAGAGTTTTACATTTGTGTTCTATTCTTGTATATTGGTATCGAGTTAACTCAACCATCGTGGGGGCGCCATGCGAGCTCGGTGGTATATCTTGGGGTTTCGCATTATTTTGGCCATGATCAATTGTTTACCCATTCACACAATCTGCGGAGTTTACTGGTGTTGGAGATGTGGTTGTGCCCAGGCTCTCCCCTCACCACATGTTATTCGGGGAAGACTCGTGCTGATCATGCCGCTGTCGGTGCTTGTTCTTCTGCAAGTTGCGAGGCTCATTAGAATTAGTTTCACCCAAAAAGTCGCCCTTGTTTGGTGATGGATCCCAGCCCCAATTTTGTTCTCTTGTGAGCCACCGAGCTGATCCTCCTTCATCCTGTCGGAATTCACTCATCTCCGCTCGATCGTGTTGTTGGCCGTGTCGATCCTCGTACCGTCGACCGTTAGCCGATGATTGCTTCCTTGCATTTGCAGAAGAACCCCAAGTGGTTACACTTAGTTGCATCCTTGCGTCTGTAGAGGGATCCGTAATGGGTGCAGGTTTGCCCACATTCCACTAAGGCGATTTTGTCGGAGGCAGGGTGCAATGACCTCCTCTGGAAGATTAGCCTCATGTCCTCTCTTTGTCGCTCCAACTTGCAGGGAGATCAGAATGTTCAAAGGCTGCGAGTGCCGCGGCCAAGCCTTTGCATCCTTTCGTTTTTGGCCAAGGAGGGAGGGTTAGTTTCTTACAAGGTGTGCATTATCAAGACAATCACAACATCGAATAGAGAGGTGATTATAATCAACTTGTATGTAATTCACGTCTCCTGTAATTGGGTTCATGACAACAAGTGTGAGGTTGTAAGCTACTCCCACCTTAAGTGCAATGCAAAACATTTGGTCTGCGTTGTAGTCATTCTGCCTAGTGCCGGACCAAGCCCCTTCACAATTTCTTGAGTACAACTCAAAAATTCATCAGGGACAGATTTCAGAGTGATCTATGTTGCCATTTTCATGCCAACCGGTTTGCTAAGATTGCAGCTAGGGATCCAAGGTTGTAAGTTGCAGGTCCCCCACTTAGAGATATGTGGAGTACGCATGAGTAATTTCTAGGTGGATGATTCATCATTGCTTATCACTTGAAAGAAGCCATGCCCAAACTTTTGCCAAGTCGCAATTCTTATTTTGTTTCAGATTTTAAAAACCCTAACCACTTTTGCAAATGTTGCTGCGTTTATCTACCATCCACAAAGTATGCGATGACCACACACTTCGTGAGGTACTCCATCTCTCGCTTCACCTTCTCCCCATCTACCTTAACCTCCACAACTTATTTATTCAAGAGAAAATCTGTACAACTGCGGTATAGGTCAGCCGGGAGTTGTTCTCCTGGAGAAGCTTTCGTATGATGGAAAGTCACATACCTGCCCATATTGGTCGCGGTCGCAACCAACTCAGGTTCAACATTGTCCTCACGGCGTACTCGTTCTACCTAGCGACCCTCCTCTGATTGCGTCGGAGCGACTAGCACGTAGGCCAGCTTTGCCCTGAGAACGCTTGCATACATTGCTATCGAACGTGATTCGCAGTATTGCGCCAGGTACCACACTCCCTTTCTGGCCCCGTTGGTTGGGCTACTACCGTTGTACTAATTGCAGACAGTTAACCCTAGAATTAACACCCTTTTTTTAGATAGCTCCACCACACTGGACCCTTAGTCTCTCTTTTGAATCTTTTACTGAGAAAGTGAAAGGTGACTAGTTTTTTCCTCCAAAATGATTGAATGTGTAAGATCATGCGAGAACTCGACGTGAGATCCCACTAGCTCTCGGCAGCCCTTCGCGCAACCGTGGAGGAGCACATCGGAGTCTCATCGCATTCAGTTACAGATATGATAATATGTAAATCTTAAAATGTACCGAAAACATCAATATATATGTGTAGATATTATTCTAAAATTTCAATCAAAATGATTGAATTTGGCAATAAATTAATATATTTGCTAAATGTTCAGAGATCTAAAGAGATTAAACAACAATTTCTTCAGTTTTAAAAAGGGTGTCTGTACAAAACAGGGTTACGTAAAAGTATTTTAAGAATTAAATGACCACCATCCACGTGTTCTACTAGTGTGTTCAAAATAACTTTGTTTACACTTGTAAAAGAAGCAAGAGTGGTGTGTGCATCAAGTAATGTACTTCCAATCCCATTTGTAACTATAGAACACAAGGATCAAGACAGATTGGACTGGGAACATAAACTCATCTTTTAATCTCGCACTGAAAAGTTGCCCACCAAATTTCCAAAGAAAGTTAAGCTTAAGGACCAGCTTAAGAGCAAATACTTTCAGGAAAACCTTGCATATTATTATCAGAAGGCAGCTATATACATCTTATGAGAGACACACATACTATGTCTTATTGTTTACTGGGTCTCTCGAAGTGCTCCGAATACAATTCGAACACCCAACAGAGGTCCTTTACAACCACCTGATTTTTCTGATAGCCCTTGCAAACATCACTAAATTATACAGATCACCATGCTATCAAAAACACAACACGAATTCAGTCATGCAGTTTTCTCCATTGAGAAACAAAACTACCTCCAGGAATTCTCTTTCGGAGCATGTTAATTGGTGAGATACGGTTCATCTTCCACTTAAAAAATGCTTCCTGTCATGTTTCAGTACTTTTAACTTGTCTAAATAGACATGACTAGCCTGCAAAATTGTTTTAAGACAAAAGCTTTCACTACTCCAATGCTGCGGCGTTTTCCCAGTCCAGTTGCAGACACTTTTGGAATGCAGGCCGAGAGGTGATGGCTTCAACCCAAGCCGAGACGTGTGGGCGGTTTTCCAGCAGCTCAGGCTTGACATTTTTGACCCAGTTCATGTAGGGCGTGTGGAATGCGTCGGCCAGGGAGAAGCTCTCACCTGCAATGAATTTACTCCCCTTGGCGAGGTGCGCCTCGTATACGTTCAAGACATTGTTGAGTTTAGCCAAACATGTTGATATAACTTCCTCATTCACTGGTCGCTTCTCACGAGGAGCCACAAACATTTCTCGCACCACGGGTCCTACGCAAGGATGGAAGTTCTGGCCCTCACTCTCGATCCACTGGTAAATGATCGCTCTTTCCTTCAGCGACTTGCCCAGGAGCGGCGTGCCTTGGCCCTCGTACTTCTCAGCTATGTACCTGGCTATGGCTCGAGATTCTGCAATTTCCACCAATGGACAATACATCAGTGCCGCTAATCTCACTTCGTTGATAAGGTGAGCTTACAAGCAACCGACCCTAGTGACATTGCATAATGAGCAGGCACTACGAAGCGCCTTCGGCTGTTTTCTAACAAAGCGGTTGAAGTTTGCTCACCAAAAATTTTCACGTCGCCATCCTCGAAGAATGGGATTTGTCCGAAAGGCTGCAGCCACAGCACACACGTTTAATAGTCAACTTTGTATCGTCGACAGTTTTAAATAAGAGACAACCAACTGTTTGCGACAAGTTCAAGCGTCTTTGAATTCAGAGCCCGAATAACGCATCAGCTGAGAGTTCAGTTCAAGAGCGTTACGTTTACCTGTTTAGTCGTGTAGATGGGCTGACGGTGTTGAGCAGTTTGTAAGGCCACTCTCACCAATTTCAGTTCATTCTCGGTATCCACCTACAACAATATTCCACCATTACGGTTGATCGGATCGACAGGATCGAAAATCATTTGAATTGCTCTAAGCATTTGTGCTGTCACACGAAATGTTTCTTTCGGCGACGGACACGCGCGCATGGGGCAGAATGGACACTAAAACACAGTGATTCTCTGATCATCTCACCTCAGCTTCAAAGAGTGGTAGAATGGATCGGATCACATTGGGAGTTGGGCCTCCATACAGAATCATCGCCATGACTGTTGGATAACTCTGCTACTCGAACTTGTCTGCATGCAACATCACCATCAATCAAATGTTTGCGTCGGTTTAAATGCAAGCTTCTAACCTGCAATGGAATTCTCAGCTCACAGACTGGGCGAACGATTTAGAGAACTTTGTGAAATGGAGGATGTGTTGCGCAACTCAGAAAACTCGAAGTGGGATCATCTCAATTTCTTGGGAGGTGATCATTTCTACCTCGTTCCATACCTCGAACAGTCACCAACCTTCCCAACTTGCTCTAATTCACTCTGTTAGATAGAAAGAGATGGAGACACCCAGATCCTGCAACAGACTCCGCAAGACAAGTAGACAAAGTTACAAGCTGAACAGACTCTGCACGTCACCTGAGAGGATGGATCGGCAATGTTACAGGGGATACAGCTTCAAGCTTACGCACAAGTTGTGAATGACAAAAGCATTGATCGACAACCCTAGAGAAGTGGCTCAGCTTTATGCGTTCAAGAGACCATCTACAGAGATATAAGGAAATGACGCCTGAAATTACCCCATGGAATTGTTTATCATCTCAAGCGCTGCTTCGCAGTGAGCTGCAGTTAGGATGAAAGCACTTTCTGTAGCTGCTTCTCTGGTCACTTTAAGACCAAAGATAGGGCCGACTCTCAATAATCAAGCCAATTCAACGGGCGAATCTGCGTAGGATTTGAGGGGATTCCATCAATAATCCGACCAGCAGATCCGCCCAAACTCATGATGCTTCGCAAGATGGTTCCTCTATGTATTAGGATTTGTTGCAGCATCTCCATAGACAATTGTAGGAAACAAGGTGACCATTATCGTTTTGCCAATATATCACCCCAACTTATTCCGTTGAGTACTCTCACGCACGCACCCACAATTCCGACTGAACGGACCACACCTAATTAGTGGGGACTATTCCAGCACCCGGACCTCATTGCCCTTCCCCAGATTCTACGACCTGAACCAGTCGCAGATCTAGTTATAAACTTCACAGCATCTATTAAACGCCCGGGTTCCGCTGGATAATTACTGATACTAAGTATTAAATATAAAACAACACCTACCATCTAACACGCTTCTGGGCCCTGGTTCTGATCCAATAGTTAGTGTGGGTGGTTGTACCTAACCATTCAGTAACGGGTGCACCATCTAACCCCCAGAGGACTCTTTGAGTGATATGAACGTCACCTAGAAGCTGTGCTTGACACAAGAGGTAAAATGAAAAAAACTGCTTTGATAATTTTTATCAATTCAACTGTTGCGGCAATTCAATCTTTTTCTTTTGCAGCACATCATAACATTATTTCTCCATACAAAACAAAAAATTTCCAAAAAAAAACACCCCTTGAGATAGCTAAAAAACCTTAAGTTGACAATTTAAGGTATTCCAAAATAATATAGTGAGTTTAATTCTTTCTAGAAGAAAATTTTCTATTCTTGTTTCTTTTTTAGTAACCTTTTATATCTTTTGTTTTTTTCTTTATTATTTTTTGTGATTTTAGTATCTTATAGTCATTGCTTGTCAAGTAACTATGACATGATAATTCATGGTGGAGACTTTTCTATTGAATAAATTTGAAAATAGTGTTTTTTACCTGAGTATAATGCTTAATTATTGATTTTCCTTACTTCATAGACTTAAAACATATTCATGCATTTTTCTATTATATCTCATCTTCATCTTTATTGAGAGGAATAAAGATTAGTTGAAAGAACTTTATAAGTTCAATAATTAAAAAATAATAAATTCCAGAGAAAGCAAAAGAAGAAAATAAATAAATAAATAATAAAAAATAAAAACATATCATTGATCACCTCCAATCTTTGATATAGATAAAGTAAATAATCCATTTTCTATAACATAAGCATTCCAACATATATCTAGTAGATATAAAAATAATAATAATAATAATAAAATTTCATTATAAAAAAATAAAAATCAAAGTAATTTCAAATGTTTTTACACAATTGGTCCAAAAATAAAATTTATATAAATTTTTTACTTAAAATTTCTCATTTATTCAATTTTAGATATATAAGCTTACTTAATTTTGATTAATGGTGGATTATAAAACTAAAAATCTAATCTTTATAAAATTATGATACGTGGCATCTATTAATACTATTAGAAGAAGTGTGGCACCTAATTATATTATTATTTCACCTCAACCAATCAACAATTGTCAGATATTGATAGTTCATGTATATTCATTCCAAGTACAATTAAATTCTCCAACCTATTTTCAATTAATAGATGTTAAACCACATCTTTTGACCATTGATTTGTATGCAGCCACAATGAATCCCACTTATTATCAAAAATTAAGCTATTATCTGTATATATCTGAAATGTTCTTTTATTAAATATGTAAAAATAAAAGACTAAAAAATTTAATTTTTTAAGTAGAATAAATAATATTTAATACTAGCTTATTTTAAAGCAGTTATATTAATGATACTTTGTCAATGACAAGAACTCGATGAAAGCAAATAATTAAATGAAATTTTTTTAGAAGAAATATGACAAAATAAAAGTAAGAAAATATGTATATTTAAAAAAATCTAAATGGCTATTGCCAAAAGTCAAGAAAACATAAGACTCTTAAATCTAGAATAAAACAAGAATGGAATTGACAAGAGTGAAGAAGGCTTCACTCTTGCCTCCATATATACTATCTACCTACGAGCTACATAGCAACGTTCTATAGGACCTCTAACATGTATTGACTTTGCAAGCCATTTGTCTTAATTTGTAAGATAAGTTTTCTATATATATGCCACATAATAAGCTTGTTCTACAAGCTACCTATACATATGACATATTATCATATTATGTAGAGCCTTGCTTGAGAATGCATTAAGTACCTAGTTGTGTAAGATAGAAGGAATATTGCAACAATAAGATTTAAATTGTAATAGAATTCTAAATAATTTTAATTAAATCTTTAAAATTTTAATTAAAATTTAATCAAATCCAAAGAATTTACAAAGAAATCACAAAAGAAGCATAAAAAAATCCTAAAGAAATTCAAAAGAAATATTAAAATAAAAATTTAAATATATTTTAATTAAATTTGAACTAAATCTTAATTTAATCATAATTAAAATCCTAATAGTTTTTACTTAAATCCTAACTCAAATCCTAAATTCTAAACAAATCTTAAGTCCTAATCAATTCCTAAATCTTAAATTAACTTCTAATCAAATTAACCTAATCATAGCATAGTTTAGAATCTCAATATCTATTGATTATACCATTGATCTTGCTTAAGATTTTACATATCTCTCAAAAACTAATTTGGCAACAAGCATACATAATTTGAAGAAGATCGAATTTTCCAAATAGAAGAACAATCCTAAATTCCACTTGGATTTTGGCTAGCCTCCTATTCTAATCTTAATATTGAATTTCTAGTGCCAATATTTCATTCTTGAATAGTTGAATTGCATCTAAAATATATCTAAACTATGGGAAATCTAGTCTAATTTCTATATTAAAAAAATCACTTTAATCCAATAAAAAAATTGCTAAAGATCTAAAAAATACTCACTAACTTTCAAATTCCAATTTCTAAGACCTCAATCTGTAAAAACCTTCACATACTTTGATCTAATCATTTGATTGACTTCAAAATTTGCATACATACTAAAAACTAGAACATCAAAATATTGCCCAAAATTCACTTATAAAATATACCAAAAAACTAAAGAAATCCTCAATTTTGTAAACATAATTTTATTTTTTTAAATCTAATCCAATCAAAAAAATTATTAATTTTAAAAATCTCCTGAAAAATTAATATTAACTTGGTTGATGTAAAAATAATTCTTAAAAATCTCTATGCGAGTTTGCTCTCAAAGTTCACTCTTTAATCTACCAAAAAATCCCAAAGCTCCCATAGGTTTGTGATTTTGTGCCTTGGGATCAGATTTTGATCCTAGTTGACAACTGGTTCTTTTTGGGTATCAATATTTAGTAATTTGAAGTAATTTTTACTTGAACCTATTAATAATTTTCTTCTAAACATGTCTATATCAATTACTTATCTCATTTACTTTAATTTGAGACATTTATTTTTCTACAAAGTAAATAGAAGTGTCTTTTTTAAAAGACAGTATTAAGACTAAACCTTTTATTGCCTTACTTTCATTTATCCTTGTTTTTCTACTATATCTTTCTATTAGGCTCTTCTTTAATAGCACTTGTGTTTTTATTTTTCACCATATCATTTTTCACATCTAATTAGTTGGTCCAAATTCTTTTTTAGGTCTCCTTTTATCTCTTTTCATTATTCTGGCTCAAGTCTCAATTAATTTCTTTTTTTTTATCTTTGTACAAGTTCCAATCTACCTCCATCTCTTTATTGCTTTCATACAAGTCTTGAAGCTAAGACAAAAAAAATTAAGAATAGGAAATTAAGACGTGCGTTGAGACAAAAAAATCAACTTGGATTAACTAATAAGAAGTCTTTGATATGTGTATAGATGTGAATTAAAATAAAACTTCATTAAATAAAAGTTTATCCCAATTCACAATGATTTAATTATCTATTAATTCTATTATTTTTTTATTATTATTTAACTAACATCCAATAAATCCTACAACTTTCTAATTATGAGCTTAATAAATCTTTATAAAAAATGATTTATTCTAATTCACAATCATTAATTAATTTGTCATTTTATTACATAAAAATGATCATCAAATTTTTATTGAAGACCTTAGATTATCTAAATTAATTCAACTTCTCACTCACACATACACAACAATAATATATCAATATAAATACTTAAAAATCTACACATATTGAAAGAAAATATTTTTGTATAATTTTATTTTATTTTAATATAATATAATTTTATTTTATTATAATAATAAAATCATCTAAGATAATTTTGCATGTATAAATAAATTTTTATCTACGAATTATTTTTCATCTAAAAATAAGAATTTATTCAATCCAAATCAATATTCATTTATAAGTCTTTATCCAATTCAAATTAAATTCATCATTGATTTCAACTAAAATAATTTATTAAAATAATAATTTATTTTTAATAAAGATTTTGTATCCCATTAATTCATTTGACTTCTAATCTAACTTTATTTAAGTCTAAATACTTCTAATATTCTTTGACATACTTAAAAATTTGCAAAAAATTAATTAGATGTTAAAGGCAAGCTTAATGATGTCAATTACATTATAGCAAAGAAATGATGACAAGTACTAATTTGGAGTTGAACACACTTGATTTCCCTCCTTTCTATATAGAACTATTCTTTTGACAACCTTGCGGTTTTTTTTGGAAGGCAAATTATATCATGCAATAATTCTAATTTTTTTTCTCTTTGGCAGTATTAAAGACAAAAACAATGATGTCCCATCAACCAATAGCTTGTAAAGGAAATTAGGACCACAAGTAATATTAAAGTATTCATTTATATCATAGCTAACAAT